GTAATTACTGCCACGTGACAATGAAAATTACCAGGCAGCACAGAGCCTTTAAGGCTGCTCAACGCATCGCAGCATAAATATTGAAGCGCCCCCGCCTGAGCATATTGAGTGCCAAGAGCCATTGCTCTTCAAGATCTACGACCCGGGGATGGGGGCGACCAAGCCAAACGAGTCGAGGCCGAGCGCAGTTTATGAAAGTGCCCAGAGCAGAGCAACGAAGACGGCGAGCCTCCTCTCTATGAGGAGCAGCTCCTAGGGCACAGTGGTGCCAGCTAAGAGAACAGACAATGGAACAGTTCACTCTTGTTCTTGATCTATTGAGCATCTCTCTTTCGCACCTTAACAACTAATAAGCTCCAATTGTATGCCACTTTCATATTTTATTCATTGGAAGGCAAGGCTTTGACTAGTGATGGCACAATTAGTCATAGGATACACCCTGATCGATTATAGGAATAGACAGCGCTGTATAAACAATATTTCTGACATATTTTGTGAGTATTGTGGAAAACGTAATTAATTTCCTCATTGAGTGACCCACTTCATATATTCGGATATTCCGCTGGATATTGCACTTTGCGTACTGCCGGTCACGCCCACTGTGGCAGGGTGGGCCAGCTGGGCTGCTTGGGCTGGCTTGGGTCGGCTGGTCAACATCAGCTGAGCTCGTAAATAAATCAATGAGCCGTTTTGTATTGCAGCCGGCGCCTTCGCTTCGAGTCGGCGACAGGGGCGCAGTTTCTGCCTCTTTTTATTCAGGCCCATGCTCAGCCTCAGAGGAGCAGCGCATAAATTTATGCAGCTCGCCTTGGAGACGGACTCAACTCAGCTGGAACAGTGCTCGACCCAGACACGCCATTCGCCATTGGCCATTCGCCATTCGCCATTCGCCTGGCTCTTGGCCTCAGCCTCAGCCTCAGCCTTAGAGTTGACCTCGGCCTGCTGCTCGTCACTGCTGACGTATGTTTAGCTTGAGTGGATTTTATTGTGACAGCGTCAGGATTTAGTATGGACAGCAACTGGAACTGGCAGGCAGTAATGAGGTCTCGATGCCACGCCCCATCCGTCGGTGCGCCTCAACCATGGCATGCAGCATAGTTTAGTGTCTGTCTGTCTATCTGTGCGTGTGTGTGTGTTTTATGCACTGTTTTGTAATTAATTTGAGCAATTTTTGCGATTTTAGCCAAAATTTATTGACTGCACTCAAACATTGCGCATACGACGCGTCTCCCAAGGGCCTCGCAAACGGGACTGCCACATGGCTCCGGCTGCAGACAGCGAGCCACGCAACGCGCCACAAAATCAATGCTAAAATATGCAAATTTTTATTTGCGCGACAATTTCAATTTAACGACAATGACGACGACGACGGCAGCGCACAGTTTTCTATTAACATTGGGTTTCCTTTTTTTTTTGTCGCCCCCGTCGGTTTGCTTTGAATGGCGAATTACTCTCAGCAGTGCCGTTAACACCACTGTGCAGCCACTCCCAGCCGCCCCCAATCGAGGCGGGCCAAGGGAGCCAAAGGCAGCGAATCGTTTTTCGAAAATGCGGAAATCTGTAAGCAAAGTTTTGGCACTTTTAAGGCCACGGCTACGGCTACGGCTCCGGCCACTGGCAGGGGACGGGCAAGCATTGAGCCATTCAGGGGATCATTATGCGTACAGCCACGTTATGGGGCCTCAAGTGTCGTTTTCGGTCGGATGTTGGCCATAGGCGTCGCCAAGGGGAGGGGCGGGAGGCATGAAGTGCCAGCTGCAAAGTAGCCGGCGGGATTTCCTTGGCCAATCAG